CCTCAGAGAATGACACGGTTCATAGCTGCTTTTAAAATGCATTCCACTACAGATTAATGAATACATGTCGTAAAATGTAATATGTAATGCATTTCATTAGATTATTCAAACTAAGTAACATATTCTAAATAGTTCAGATTACTTTTGGTATACTTTGAAATTGTCTTGTTGGACTCATTTGGGTCTTATATTTTCATGCCTTAAACATATATCAGTATCTTGGCTGTGGATCTGCTCTGACATTATCATGTGGCAGCTGCACTGCACACCCTCATTTAAAAGCCGTTTATGGGAAATATGTGTCTCATATGACTTTTACACAGTGTCCTAACAGCAAGCGAATGTGGCACACTGAATCTGTCAACTTAATTTCACCTCAAATGCCTATCCAAGGCATACCGAAAGTCAAAATGAATGCTGTTCTCCTTTCCATTGTAGTATATGTACATGTATGGTCTCATTTGAAAGAACACAAGTTGATTTAAGCAACAGTCAGAATGACTGTAAGTGCTTATGTCATTAGGTTTCAACACACTGAAATACAAGTTTTTTTTATGTTCACCTGAAAATTCTGTTATAAAAGATGCTGCAGATGACCAGAACTGCGAGGTATTAGCTGAAAAACACAATGGGGCCTTGCTTGCGTCACGTTTGGTTGGGACATGGTGCTAGAGGAAATACAACAAATAAAGTAATCCCTTCATTTTGTATTCTTAAGACGCAACTTAGTTACTTGTACTCTATTACTCCCAAACCCTGTGTGTAATCCCTGGCATGCTCCATGTTCTCTGTCCAGTCTTGGGCCTTATGTATCATCCAGAGTCCCCTCAGCTCAGCAGCACCCCAGACACACACACACACACACACACAGGTGTACTCACTTCACAAATTAGTCCAGTGATGCCATGTCAAACATTTCAGTCTAGCTTTCTCACAGACACTTGTCCTGGATGCATTGTATCACAGGAATGCTGTCTCTCAACTGACCCTGCTTCCTGAAATGGAAAGAACCACACACACACACACACACACACACACACAAAAATGCATCTTCCTTCAAGGAAGTATTGAGTGTTGCAGTGGGAAGGCCCATGTCTGTCACCTGGGAAGGGGTGGCAGTCACACACACACACACACACACGCTGAAAAGCAGACAGACAGACTCAACAGAGTAAAAATATGTGTTTCCTAAGTGCCTTGGAACAAACAAATCAGCCTGCGACACTTTAAAGTGATTTACTTGCTTTCTGATTTTGTGGGAGCCAGTCACAAGAGGTAAGACACTTTGAAATGATAGATGAATGATAGTTAATTTTCTTGGGTGATAGGTGGCAGAGGCACCTGGAGACAAGTGGATAATTGGGCTTAATTAGTGCAGAAAGACAGGGCTGATTCAATAGCCATCAAAAAGATGACATTTAAATGTTTGATCATGCATTATGACAGCTTTTAAGATAGTTTCATGATCTTATTTTTCTTTAAGGAAACTAATTTTGTGAGACTTTATTAAAGAATCAGTGACAGCGATTTAGGCAAGCACCACAGTTTTGAGAGTTTTTTGAAGCATGTGGCTGACAAAATTTTATATATTGAATAACTACTTAAACACACATTATGCAACACTATTTTCTGCCTTAACCCCACTTTCAAAGGAAATACCTGTTTTTCAGTGAGCTCGTTTCTTCCTTGTTCCTGGTTTAAAGTTGTGACTGCTGTCATTGTTGTTCACCATAGACAGAAATCCTACTGTAGATAAAACTGACCAGTCATTGTTGCAGTAATTATATAGTACTGATATGTTGGCTTTGGATGGGTGGTGTAGTTTCCCTGGGTAAAATAACTATAAATCTATCACTATTTTATCACTATGAGAAGGGTTATACTATAATGAGGGTGCCTACAACTCAACATATAGAAGGTATGTCGTACTAGTTTTGTATTACAAATTGTATCTATTTAATTGTCGTACTTGAAACTGTGATACTAGTTTAAACTTTTACTTTAACACTAGAGTAAGGGAGACCAGGTATGGTTCTCAGCACCTATAACTTGCTGAATTTTTGTGTCAGAGCTCTCAAATTTTTAGTACCCAAATTTGTTTACTACAAATAATAATATTTACAAATTATCCAGCTATGGCACAGAATTCATTAACTGGTGTCAAACACAAGGAGTTCTGTTCTTACAATCTGCCCCACAACCGGGATTAATTTAATATAATAAATCAGGAATTAAAAATTACAATACAAATAAAAAACTGACACATGTAGTATTTAAAATTCCTACTTTGGTCTATGTCACTATGCTGTTTGTGTCAGATGCTTAGTACGTCACAAGATATCCTCTAGCTGCACGTTTCAGACTTTTTGACTGCTCTGATCGCCCATACGGGGCAGCTGTGCTGGTCCTCTTCCTTGAGGTTCTGTCATTTCTTGCAGTATTTGCAAAGTGCCACATGGCAGAGTATTATGTGGGGACAGCCCTTTCTGTCTTCCCCTGCCTCACCTCATCTGATGCAGATTTTAGTACATCTGCAAGCACACCCCAATCACCCTTAACATATCACTGGGGTTATTTGTAACACTTTTTTAAAGGGTGTTTCAGCTATTTGATTTAATTAATTTAATTCTTTATTTGTCAGTCCATGATTCTGGCAGTGAAAATGTAACTTCTGCTTATCCCTCTTTTTACACACCACATACATGCAGTTAAGGGAGGTAGCGTAAGGTCAGCTATAGTATGGTTCCCCTGAAGCAGGTTTTTGTGGGTCCAGTGGCGTCGGCAGTGTCCTACTCTCCAGCTGCCAATTTATACTCCACACTTGGTCCATACAGGGACTTGAACGGGCAACCCTCTGGGTTCCCAAGCCAAGTCCCTACAGAATGAGCCACTGCCACACCATGCCCCATTCCCACCCCTGTCAGCCATTGTTTGGCTAGCTTTCATAGCATGGTGGTTTAAAATGAGCAAAGATTAAAGTTTTACCTCCAAGACTAATCTCTAATCAAGTTACATAATTCTAATTTTAACAGTATCAGAACTAATCAAAATAAAGAGTTGGTGCAAAAAAATAATTTTATAACTGAAAGTCAGTATTTTGGCTGTAAAATCTGCTCACTCATGACATTTCACATGCAAGGTCAGGAAGGAGATGGTCACACAGTAAATGTATTCCATGACTCATAGATCATCCCTTCTTGGTAAAATTGGTGCTGTTACAACCACTCTGTTGATACAACCATACATAGTCTCCCCTAAATCAGACCAAAAGTTTGACCACATCTGAGCACAATAACTAGCATCTTGTTTCCACTGGTTTCTCAGGCACAATGCGGGACATGCTGGAGAGAATGCAGACCATTAGTGAGGAGCAGGAGGACTACGAGCCAGAATTTTATGGAGATGAGTACGATGTAGACAAAGAGACTCTGTCACAACAGGCAGTGGTGTTCGAGAACTCCTCAGCTATTGACACAATCCTGGAGGAGGCCCACTCCATACGCAAAGAGATCTCCATGCTTCGCTTAGAGGTGGAGCGTCTGAGCACACATAATGAACGCTTTGGCACCTCTGTGCGGCGCCTCACCCTAATCAAAAAGGACTCTGACTCCATCGCCAGGGGGATCCAGCAACGTGGGGCAGCGGTGTATGCCCGCCTTCAGGCCCTGGGCAAGGAGAGCAGCCAGCTGGAGGAGAAAGAAGGTCCCAACTCTGCTGTTAGTCGCATTGCTCGAACTCAGCATGACACACTGACCCGTGCCTTCCATGATGTCATGAGTGACTACAATGAGGCGGAGGAGATGCAGAGGGATACATGTCGGGGGAGGATCCAGAGGCAGGCCTCTATAATGGGGGCTGAAATCACTGACGACCAGCTGGATGAGATGGTGGACAAAGGTGGCGAGGGATGGGCTGAGCTGTCCCAGAGCCTGCAGAGCCAAGGCGGACGTTCGTCCCGCTGGGCGCTGTGTGAAATCAAAGGCAGACACAAGGAGCTGGTGGAGCTGGAGGTCAGGATGAAGGAGATCCACGATCTGTTTCTGCACATGGCCATGCTGGTGGAGGAGCAGGGATGTCTGGTTAATAACATTGAGGCTAATGTGTGTGGCACTCAGGAATATGTAGAAAAAATTAATGTCCACATCAAGAGAGCCTTACAGTACAAGAGGAAGAATCCTTTCCGGCAGTGTTGTCCCTGTCTACCCTGCTGGAGACACAACCAAACGTTTTAGGGCTATTTTGACTTTTACACTATTTTATGGACGATTGAAAATTGAAATAAAACATTTACTTGTGTAAAAATTATGGACAGCTGAAAATAAATGCTGCTGTGCAATGTGTTAAACTAATATTTAATGCAACTTTACAAACACACTCATGAGTACAAAGTGAAAAAGGAGCTGTTTTTTTCTGAGGAGTGGCAATGTAAAGTATAGGTTTGGAGTTACCAGCCATCTAAAGTTTGATCTACAGTAGACTTATGCCTTATTTGCATGACAGAATTAATTCAGTTGTGGATGTATGAGCAGGGGAGAAATTTACATTTTAAAGGGATGTTATTTTAAGTTGAATTTGTTAAACCGTTCACTGATTCACAAGCTGTTATTGAGACAACATGTCAGACTTTGGTAGAAGAAGCTAAATTATGTCAACAAACTGTGTTGCGTTAAGGGCTGTATAAGTCCACTAGTTTATGTTGCCTATTAGTTTATTACTGAAAATGAACCAACCAAGAAACATAATATGTTTACAGTACGTATGGTGTAATATTTTATTGTATCTGTTGTCTTTCAAATGTAAAGCACTTTGAGTTTAAGTGTAATGAAATGTGCTATATGAATATAAATAAAACTGCCATTGCCAACTGTACAGCTGAATTTAACAATGCTTGGAGGCCTGGGTCAAAAATGGGCTACTGGCTGCCTTTAAACACTCTCTTCTCCTCCTCTTGGTGCATAGTCTGTACATTATTCCTACAGGACTCCAGGTTTGTTGTTAGTTCATTTCATTAACAACAAATTCACTTGGAATTGTTTGTTATCTTTGTTTTCTTACCTGTTGGCTGTGTGTGGGAGCTTTACGCACTGCCCAGGTATTACAGGAGCAGGTGTCTGATAATGGAGAGGCTGAATGTCAAAGAGGCGCTGCTATTAAAAAGGTTTTCGACCGTGCTCTTTACGTTGATTGGTGGCTGCTCGTTTCCCAGTTTCCTTTTGACAACTAAGAAGACAGCTTTGCTCATTTTTGAGTTGAAGAGTAAACGCAGTTACCTTTTGAAATCTAGAGTTCTGGAAAGTTCTGGAAAGTTCTTGGACACACCCACGGCTGCAATCAAATAAAAACAGTCGAGTCATTCAAGTTGAAAAACCTTTTGATTGAACAAAAGAAGATAGACTCCACAAGCGGAGGAACACAAGCAGCGGAGACAGTGGACGGAGCTTCTGCGGTCTGTGAGTAGCTAAATTTTAAATAGGCTGACCAAACGTCCTCTTTTGCCCGGACATGTCCACTTTTCACGTCCCGTCCGGGGCGTCCGGGGGGGTTTTATAAACTTATGATAATGTCCGGTTTTCCGTGTGTTTGTGTGTGTGTGTGTGTTAGAGTGCGGCACAGGCAGCATATTTCTGTCCCTACCGAACCCGAACCGAGCCCGACACTATTTAATGACCAAAGCACTGAGTTTGTGTCACACAGTGGTTACAGGCTATTTAACAGGCCGGGCGTGCTCAGCTGAGGAGAGGGAGACCTACGTGTTTGAGACGGGAGCGGGAGGCGGGAGGTCCGACGCTTCTAGCCAGAGGAGAGGGAGAAATATAACAAAATAAGATAAAATAGGAGACACCCGTCTCCTTCTTTTATTTTATTTTCAGCGTTTGGTCAAGGCGGAGGCGGGCGTCTGGAGGTCCGAGACTTCCAGAGAGGAGAGAGGTAGAAACAAACAGCCAATGTGTGTGTGTGTGTGTTCTGTTCAGGTGTTGTCACGTAAATAACAGTGCCCAAGCAATAAACAGGACAGACAATAGGATTTTACATTTTCATTTCGGCGTCTGGTCTATTTTCTGCGCGAGCCGCGAGCGAATGTGTCAAGCCGGACAGGAAGTCAAACAAAGGAACACACACAAACACACACACGCAAACAGAGAGAGATACCCATGATGGAAAAACAGACACAAATGTGACGGAGACAACAGCTGCGAGCAGAAGCGCTTGTCGACCGGCGTGGAGAAATGCGCGTCTGATGTGAACGGGCTCGCGCAAGAGCAGCACTTCGTTGGCAGTGTGACCCTGGCGTAATGGTCACGAAGGTTGTTTCAAATGGGAAAGTTGCTTTTTTGTTCTTATTTTCATTTGTTGAAATATATCGGCTACATCTGTCATTACTTTATGGTCTTTTACTACAGCCTTTTAAATGATCAAATAACGAACCAAAACCAATCGACCATTCAGTATCCTATTCATCTCTACATAGACAGATCATATCAAATTATTTCCAGCAAACGGCACCAGATTCTTGTTCAACATGTCCACAGGTACCTCTGTGGTAATTTTCAAGTGATTTTTAATACAGCATTGTTTTCACAATTACATGCTAAATTCATTCACTAAGACCAAATGATAAGCATCCTGCACAACCAAACTTTCCTCAGCAGTGATGAAGTGGATGCAGCTTGTTTTTATCTTGCACAGAAGTTCCCTGATGTAGATGGATTTCAGTCATGCCTTTGCTATCAGACTCTTCACCAGGGGGGTGTGGTTGGGACATCACAGAAGCCATTTGTGCAAATATTAAATGCAAATGACAACCACTGGATCACAGCAAGTAATATTTTCTGTGGACCCAATGAGCTGTGCATAAATGGCAGCCTGAAGACAAAAATCAACAACACAGAGCAAAAGCTATCCTGGTTAATTCGTCTGCAAGCACCCCAGTTCCTGATTAGAAGGCCTGCCATGCAGATGCAGCAATCAGCTAGCAGTTGCAGACTTTTTGCATTGGCTTTTGCATCAGTTTTATGTGAGGGAGTCAGGCCAGAGGAATGCCAGTTTCAGGAAAAAAAAACATGAGACAAAGACTGTACGGAGCTTTGCAGAACAAAATGGCTCCAGTATTTCCATATAAAAGCATACAGGCATAGTTCAGGTAGAGGTTCACTGTATCTGCAGGACCTCACACAATAGAGAGGTGATGGTGCAGTGCAGCAGCTGCAGTACTTGGTACCACCCCAACTGTGTGTCTGTCCCAAAAGCTCTGTCACAAAGCTTTGGACACCACTGTGAAAACTGCACAAATTAAGAATTGTTTTGCATGACACTGTATGTAAAGGTTGATGATAGGACAAGGAAAAATACTGTGGACATGTCAGTGTGTGTGATTAACCTTTAGTTATTATCCAAGATGTGGAGCTGACATATCTACTGCTCTACTGAGTGTTTCTAATATTTGATATGATGCTGCAGAATGAATATTGTTGGAGTATTCATAGTTAATTGACACACATGCAGTTACTTTTATAGCTTGTTATTTTGTACTACAAGGTTATATGGTTTCAAGTTTTAAGTTACTCATTGCCACATGCAATTAGAGGAAACAATTGTTGTTTGTTTGTTTGGCAAACAATAATCCCACATCTCAGGTTCCTTCTGCCAATGCTCTTTTAATATGTATTAAGGGAAATCTCTCAAGTAGCTATTGCTCATTTAATTAGTACAAAAGGAAACCACACAGTAAAACAAAATAACAAACAATCACCCTATGTGTTTGTCCTTTCTCAGGTCATTTCATCATTCTTGTCATCTCTGCATTCGCATTCGAAGGCTTCATCACATCGTCACAGCCGTCCTATCAGTTCCACAACTGGAAAACCTTCCATCAGCTTCGCAGAAAGCTGTCCCTAACAACCTCGTCCAAAGCACACCCTCAGCTCACTGACTGGCCAGCATCAGGTCCCCTTTTCCTCTCTAGACGCCACGGTCTTTCGCAGTTTTACCACACATTGTACCCATAAAATGATTAATTCAGTGTTTCATTTTGATAATTAAGAAGACATCTTTGTTAATTTCTGAGCTGAAGAATAAACACAGTTACTTTTTGAAATCGACAGTTCTGGAAAATTCTTGGACACTGCTGCTGAAAAAGGCCCTAAACCTAGATGAAACAGGAACTCAGGACTTCAAGGTCAGGTAATAAGTAACACCCACATTATTGGCTATGTCCTATCAGTTTAAATGGTGCTTTAGTGCAGTGTGTTGTTCATATATTAGCAAAGAAAGTAACATTTGAACTTATGAAAACAAACGGATTGCCACACAGTATGAGCATCTAGGGCCAGTTGCTCATTTGGCCCATATGATAATTCGATTTAAATTTTAGATGTGCCCAATATGCCCAAGACTGCACAACAAATCCTTGCTTTTAACGCCCTAATTGCTATGAGACTCATTCTCCTTAAATGGACTCACTCTCCCCCCTTCTTATGATAGATGGATTCATGAGATACTGCAGTGCATCAGGCTCCAGAAGTTCAGATTTTCTCTGAGGGGATCCTTTAAGATGTTCTACAAAATTTGGCAACCCTTTATAATATTGACTCACTGACTATCAGTAACTGATTGTTTATCATTATTATTATTATTATTAATATGGTTTGTTCTATCTGTTGTGGTCAGGAGTGGGATCCAGAAGGATGGACAGGAGTGAGATGGTGGTAGCCCTGTTTACTTCTTTGTAAAAATGCATTAAGAGAGTCAGAATAACAGATTAAAAATTGCTAAAATGACAAAACTTGAGAGACAGTGTCTGTCCTCTCTGGTGTGAATGATGCATACAAGCTACACAGTCTGCTGAAAAAATGTTTCTATAATTTGTAAATAAAGTAGGCTGGTTATCCAAATTACTCAACCATGTCTTTTTCTTTATTCGGAAAGTGGTGTTTGATTTGAATAATTTTATGAATACATTATTTATTTTAAAAAGTTAGGCCTACAAAGAAATGAATGAAACGACGGTGCCTGTCCGTCCCAGTGCCCACCAGTGAGGCGCAGAAATACCCAGCAGGACGTTAACCGTCACTTTGGCTTCAAGTCTCCAATCAAGTTTGGTAACTTCTTCTGCATGAATCCGTGACTAACTCCAGAGGTGTCTGTCTCTTTTATTTTCTTGTGCTTTTCTTTGCTCGGCGCACCTGTTTGTTCAAAGTATGTGACGATAATAGCTAGACGCTCCGCTGCATGGCTGAAATGACGGTGTAGTAACCGTGCTGTGCAGAGTTGCGAGCCTGCTCTAACTTAAGCTACATGCTAACGCTATTAGCTGCTAGCTAGTTATTTACACAGCTAACATAACTTTGTCGGAGTAGCGCCATATGAAACATGGGTTCTCAAAAGATAACAAGCTAACATTCTTCTCGCTGGCATTGCACGTTATTGCATAACGTTACACAAAGTCACAGTTACGGCGATAACGTTAGTTTGTGTGAATCCTTAGCAAGTTCGCTCCAGGCTGCACAAGTTAGCTGCTAGCTGCTAACACCGTGCTAGCATCATAGTTATACTCACGAGGCGTTGTTGAAATTAGGATTATTGTAACAAAGCGGTTTATTGCTAGCTCCGTAGTCATAAAAAATAAAATAATAAACTAGATTTGACCAGGGTGACGATTTTTTCTAGGGTAAATGTGGCGGGATGTGGTGTATACACCAGGATGGCCGAGTGGTTAAGGCGTTGGACTTAAGATCCAATGGACATATGTCCGCGTGGGTTCGAACCCCACTCCTGGTATAGTATTTTGACGGTGTTTCCAAGATCGTCGTGACATTAACCACAATAAGCATAAGATGCGTCACCGGCAAACACGAGCCCAGAGAGGAATTATGGGACAGTACATTCCAATGCTTGATATAAAGAACGGAGACAGATGTTGCGTTTTAGTTGACGTCAATCGAAGACACCATTTTGCAGATGAGATCATTATAACAAAGTATTGCAAGCATTGCAAGTATCACGACTTAATCATGCACACAACTGTACATATTTGTCATGTTTACTTTTTTCTATTGTTGTGTATTCAGTTGATGTATATATGGTAGTTGGATTTCACACGTACAGCCTCAGCACAGTGATGATACATATTTTATTTTTAATATTTGTATATCTTAAGTATCAGTGTGTAGCATAATGCAAATTATATTTTTTATTTTATAATATAATGTTCATTTCTATTTTATTGCTTTATATTTACATACTTCTATTTCATACTCTTATTCTTACTTCTTAAAATTCTCTAATTTTTACATCAGAGCAGCTGTAGTGAGTCACAGTTTACCCCTTTGGGGTCAATGAAGTATTTCTGATTGTGATTCTGATACTAAATAAACTCTCTTCCCTAAGTAACATTATTGGTAACGTGACAAAAGTGAAAATGTAAATGAAATATCACAGCTGCTCTGTTGTGATAATGTAGGTATTAATTTTCTGAGTATTCATTCTTGTGTGTGATGATCTAATGCACCTCAACTGCCCCTTTTTGTAAGTATTCTTAGTTTTCCTTATTAATCATACACTAATTTACTTAAATACAATGTTTTTGTACATATATTTTATAGGAATGGCGTTTTTAATTGGTATTGATTGGCAAGAAGGTAGTTCTGATGGTACAATCATGCTGAATAATTTGAATAGCACTCATTATTTAATGTAATAGAAAGTTCAGTTTCTCCTGCAGGCCCATGCAGTGAAATTGTCCATACATTTGGCATATTGGTGAATATATCTATGTGTTGATACCAGCTTAATTTCAGCTAGGTTAACTGTAAAGAACATATTTATAAATGTATGAATATCTGTCGATTTATGCCTTATTTATGTAGTAAAGTAGTAGTGTAAGTCCTCCAGGTAAATGGGGTTTATTATTTAGGAGTAGTTGCACCTTTGGGGCAGAAGAGGGCACTCTAAGCCCTTCTTGTAGCCTCTGGGCTGGAGTCCAACGCTGGCTCATTGAGGGCCTGCACACTCTCACCCCTATAATTTCACAGCAAGGGCGATGCCTTGGACTCATGTATACCCAGTCATCTGCATCTGCCACAGGAAAAGCTTCACAGAAAATAGCTGTAACTCTTCTAAAGTGGTATTCAGAAGTTTGTTGCACATATGGATCCTAGAAGTGTAGATGGATAATAAGTCTTTTGAAACTTTCTCACCCTGTGAAATTCTGTATAGATCTTGGGCACTGCAGTGTTCACAAACACAGTGAATGTAAACGTGTCACATTTGTATCAGATCTGTGACTAATGCTGTAGATAATTATGTGCATACTGGTGCATACTTCATACTGAAGCCTTCAGATTTCCTTATTTTTTTATATTAATCCAAGTCAACATGTCAGTGAACCATATGTGAGCATGCATACCTGTCCCTTTTCTGCTTCTAAACTCACCATCAAATAAATACGCTGTCACTCGATAGGTGTTTGAGGCCTAAGAGAGCACTAATTTGTGAACTTGAGCTTCTTCTCTGAGCTGTGCGAGGAAGCATCCACAAAAGAGCCCTGACAACTGAGAAGAGGTAGGGAGAAGGGTGAAGGCTCACAATGGATGATCAACATCTCTGCATCCTCAAAGCCTCAGAGACTCTCTCCAATGGGCTGTTATCTATTATTCAGTCCCCTCAGGTACTGAGGAAGTTGTTGCTTTTCAGGCCAACACATCACTCAGTATAATAAAATGGAACCTGAGACAAGAGGTGGTAGAAAGGTTTATGGCGATGATAACAGCTTTTAGCATAATTATGGTTATTTATATGGTCACTGTAATTTTTTATTGTAAATTTATGTTCACATTTAAAGTGTCAAACAGTCTGCTCTTTTTTTATTTTAATTTGCATTTCATAAATGGAAGGTACTATATTAATAAAGTTTTTTATTGAGTGAAATGTTTTATTTTGTGAATTTATTCTAGAATAATGGAAATTAAATTGAGTGTTTTTATAGCAAGACTTTTTTGTGATATTAAAAGGTGTCTTACAGCAGTACCCTTTGACTTTTTTATGTAATACTATGTTGAGGTTCCCCAAATTTGTCCATTAATTTCCAGGAGTTTGAAATTGACAGGGCACCTTAACAAAATGATAAATAGTCTGTGATGGAATGCAGCAAGGTAGATGCACTCAAGAACTTTAACCTGCTATACACCTTTGAGGTATTTGATTTGACATATCAAAAAATATATAACAGGTCATACACAGCAACAAATATAATACTAGTTCACCACATTATAAAGGAAAATGATTGTCCTTTTGCATTTATCCGACCATACTTACTAGTTACTTTGCAGTTTAATAATTTACGTAAAACATGTAATCAGTTATGGATTAAACTGCCCAACAGTGTAAAAAGTAGTTCAAGTTAACTCAGCCCTGACCAGCATATGCATGCTGTTTACATGTCAATACATTTGTAATAATAATCCTTAATATGTGACATACAGACAGTATATTTTTGATGCATTAATTACATTTACTGACAATACCTCTGTGCTTTTATTGAAGATTTTGAATTTAGTTTCTACTTTTACTCAAGTAAAAGACCTGAATCCTTATTTTAACCACTGCACTAGTCTTTGTCACATTACGCATATTAAAATAAAACCAGTATATCGGATCAGATGGCTTTGTGACAAAGGTCAATAGCTATGGTTCCTTTACGTGGAAAACCTTCGCAGATCTTTGGCCTAATAAACATTTCTGTGATTATTCCACAATTAAAGTGTCTTGTAAAGTTTTGTGTTTCCCAGTGGGAATCACTGGTTTGGTCGGTGCTACGTCACGTGACGCCCACCGCGCCATGTTTCCATCTCCGTCAGGAAAACTTTTACAGCCAGAGGGAAAAACTCAAGACCAGCGTCAAACCACCAAGAGTGAACACTGTGCTTCCGGCCAGATCTTCAAAGTAAATTTTCTGACGCGGCATTTGGAGAGAAACCTCGAAGAATACGAGTATCGTGAATGAAACGAAGATAAGCAGCAAATTTTAATATTACATCTGTTGTTGAATATATAGTTTATGTCATAAAAATACTGAATTTCGATAATAAACACTGGGGAGGGGATGGGGAGTGGCAGGGTAACTTACTATGCTGGAAGCCTCAGAGAAACGCTGTATGTACATTAATAAGGCGATTAAGCATTTAAAGAATGCACAGTTTGCCTACTAGTAGCAAAAGAGGCTGCTGCTGCCGGATTGTATGACTTCATAATGATTGCCACCAGCTTCAGACACTTTTATTTTGAAGGCCCCGTTTTAGCATTTCCGTTTTGTTTAGCTAACTGCGTGGAGTTTAACGTCGGTGTGAGCGGCAGGGAGAAAGAGTCAACTAAGCAACAGGAACAAAGTTGTGGAACCTGGGTCCACAGTACCGCGGTGTCCACCCGTGAAATGTAATAACCATCTCTCTGTTTCCAAGAGACAGCGTATCGTGCGCGTCTAGGAGCACGGTAGCTGTGCTTAGCTTTGCGTTGCTATAAGGCGTCTCTGAAAGATTTTTTTGGGCACATTGTGAAGACTGGATGCGCCTGAGGACGGTTCTTTTTAGTTAGCTAACGTTAAGTAGTTGGTTGAGAAGAGTGCGTCGTTCCCGAGTAGAAAATGGCTTAAATTAATTGGATTAATGCACTTCTTTTTTGACTTTTTAACTTTTTTTCCAGTACATTTTTACTGTATTTGTCTATCCACGCGTTGGACTTGTTTTGAGGGAGCACGTCACCTGACTCCTTGGTGACAGCAGAGGTGAGTGTGTGTGTGATTTGGGTCCATGATATGCTTCGGACCTGTAACGTTAACCGTCATTGTATTCAATGAATACGACAGTTAATGTTAAGTTTGAATTCAGCCGTTTGGTTTAAAGTGACCGTTAAAAGTTAAAACGTTGAGATATGACGTCAGTTAATTACTGCAGTTAGCTAGCTGCCGCTGCTGTACGTTGAAACCACTTTTGACTTTATGAAGCAAGTGAGCTCTAAATTCCCCAGTCATACCTAAGAGATAAAACATTAACCACGACAAGGCCACCACAGATTCACAGTTTAAAAGTCCCTTTGTGTGTTCTGAAGCATTATCATTGGGTTTTTCTTTTGTTAAGTGGGCGGTAATCGCTCAAGATTAAGACAACACAGGAGTACTTTAAATTTATTGATCTCAAGCCAAGGCATTGACACTAGAAAGTACTAAACCTGACTTAAGCCTGCTGAAGTTTACAGCTCCAAAGATTTCAGATCAAACAGGCTGATTGTATCCCCTCAGTTTTGCCTCGGTTGTCAAAACGATTCCACACACAGTGATAGGGAGCCGAAATTGTTAAAGACACCAGCAAGACAAATGGGGCTGTCTTTTGCTTGACTTTCCTGTTGTTATTTTTGGGTCTTGCATCATCCCTCAAGAACTGTAACTCACCAAGCTCTGCTCGATAAAACTGCACACACTCCTTTCATGGTGAAAGCAAGCTATTTTGGGAGCGAGTTTTTTAATGAAAGGATACCCTGAATTAAAACAGATTACCAGCACAAGCATTAACCCTACACTAGGAAGCAGGTCTGAAAAGGCTGTTGCACCATCTGACCTACTCACTAGGTCAGATTGAACCATTGGGGATAATGACAGGTGTTTCATTGTTGGAGCTGGCCCACTGACAGTTGAGCACACATCCCTGCGGCCTTTGTGAAACTGATGGAAAACACAGAGCCATTTGCAAATATAAGCACATGACAAGAGTAATATAATATTCCAATAAGCCCCTGGAGGGAACAATCATCACTGGCTCTCATGACTTAAAACTCCACCAACCCCTTGCAAGAAATACTAGTGCAGTGTTTGCTGCTCTGGACAAGGGTTTTGTAACTTTTGAACCTGAAAAACTTAGTTGTTGCATGCAGTCATGCTCTGCCATCCTACATGATGGTGTCAGATACCTCTTAAATGATCAACTAGCTAATGACTAGATGCAAACCAACTCAACATAGTTAGACTTTGTATTTACTGAAATCAGGGCTGTAATTGTCTATGTAACATTGGGAGGGACCATCTTCTTTCTACAAGGGTTTCTACAAGGGTTAATATCCCCCAGGAGAAACTTTACGAAACTTCACAGCTAAACAGACCATTTTAGAGCACTTTGAAACAAAAAAATCTTAGATAAGGACTCTGCATTGATCACTGAGTGCCGTCTTAGAGAGCCAGCACATGATTTGGGCTGCACAGGAAAAGTGCACACACTATAACATTTTTATGACCTTTTTATAACATACTTAAACTTCACAAAAAGTATATCAGTCAACAGTGTTATTGTCTACGCAACAATTATTCAACTTAATACATTTGAAAGTAATTAGATAAAGAAGGTACAGTGTTTGACATTGATTGTACCTACTCAGGGCGGTCAAGCAACGGCTTCTGCTGGGGTATGGCAACACTACTGCACTAACAATACACAGAACTGCAGTATATTATGTTTTATTATTACTGCCAAGATTGAAATCTTACTACTCGCACACAGTGGAAAAACTTTGTAATTCAGCATGAAGTTCAACAGCACAAAACATTAGAAGAAAGCATTGGATCTGACAAGACTTTGACTATGTTTGATGGTTTGTGAAGACCAACCAAAGCAAAATAAGCTCACCAAAACAAATGTCTATGGTGGCTGACCACTTTCACCTCTACTTGATCCTCTGTGGGTGTTTCAAACTTGGAGGTTATTGGCTAGTTGGTGTCTGAGCTTTTACGGCAGTCTACACTATGATTTTCCGTTATTGCTGGATCAATTACTTTAATTGGAGTTGTTTTACACATAAATCAATGCCCAGATTGTCAGCCTAAGGGCATGGTGTGAAACCAGTGAAGTCTCAAACAGCTATTTTAATGACAGACGGTGTTGCTTATGAAGTGCCAGGTCTTCCTGTGCACTATGTGACCCTGAATGTTTTGTGTGTGTAGTGCCAATGCATGTGATACTTCCACTCTCCAGGCCTCCTTTTGGGATTATTTCCACTTCTTAAAGTCACATTAAAGCAGAAAGGAGCTTAAGTTTATTCTTTCTTACAGGTGCAGAAAGAGGGCTGCACTGTGTGTCAAGAGGCCTGGGACTGTATCACGCAATTTCACCAAAAAACCATTGAATTTATTGGCCACCATGGCATCACACGGTGACACCGCAGAGGGAGGAGCTAAGGAAGAGTTCAATGACATCATCAAGTGGAGATCTGGTATGTTTTTAAGATTGTTATCTTAAGATTATGTTTAACGTTTGACGTGCTGTTTAGGACACACCACTTGCAGGGTGTGTAAGCATGCATGCTGAACCAAATACTGCTAGATCACTTAAGGGTTTTTAGAGAAATGACTGGTTGTCCTATAACTACATTTAAGGGAACATTTTGTTGTACGTGCATAAGAGCAGTCTCTGAAAGGAAACACTGGCTGAGCCAGAAATCCTGTTGTGCATGGTTAACCTCAGTTCCCATGGAGGCAAGGGAAGAGGGACAGAGGCAAAGCAAAGCAACAAAGGCACGTAGAGAACAGGAGATGGTTGATTGTAACACGTTTGCTCGGAGAAAGAGAAAGTCACAGGCAAGGTGACCAATGGCAGCAGAGGAAAGGGAAGACAAGAATGCAGGGATGGGTTCAGAGAGCCGCGCCCTCTGATCCCTTTCTCTGTGGATCATTCCATTCCATAGGTTAATCTTTTGTAGACGCCACCCTCAGAGAGAGAGAGAGGCAGACACACAAACAAGTTGTTGTTCTGGCAGAAGGAGTGCTTTAGTTGAGCTAACAGTAAACATTCAAGATAAGCACAGTATTGTACCTGATAATTTACCTGGTACTGTGTTTTCTCTAGCTGCTCAAAAATGGAATTTCTTGTTTGCTTTTGGGATAAAATTTAACTTAAAGTGACTTTGTTCATGTGCTGTACTTCTGCTTAAAAATGTGTTGGTGTGATGACAAGTGATTGAGGGAGTGAAAGAAAGATATAAAAAAACTCATCTTCTAATGTACAGGACTTAGTCTGATTCTCAAAAAGTTCTTTTTCACACTACGTAATTATCAAATTAATATATGAATACTTGGATATCAGGCTGAAAAGGCTGATAAACTATTTCGCATTTTAAATGCTGCGTAAAGTGAGTTTGGTAGATAATGTGGTAAGTTTATGATATTGATAATATTGATTATTTCTATAGTGAATTGAATAAATCCCTCCTACCTCCTTTTTTCTTACACAAAATTGTTACCTACCCCTTCAGTGTGGCTGCTGTATTACATTACAAACAGGAAAGAAAGCACACATATGGTGACTGTATTCACATGTGTCAGACATAATGTTTTAGATTAACAGGACTCAACACTAACTTCCAAAAGTGGTTGCCATGCTGGCAATCAGACATCAGCTATTGGTTGCCGAAACTGAAAATATGGTTCCCATTTCTAGTCAGCTCCAGCACACATTATCACCACTGCATTGATTAAGTTAAAAAGGACCTTTCTGAAGACGTCCACTGAATCTTTTGAAATTTGATCTTTTGGGGTATTGATTCCCTGCACCACAAAGACAAAGCAAGTGGTGTGTGTGTTGCCTTCGACTCATCCTGCCATTGTTAGTCACCTACTGTGCAGTTATTTGTCAGCTTAATGATAAAAATGTGACATAAAAGAATGAATCTTCCAGTAAGCACAACTTAATTTTCTTCAATATTGTCCCTAAAACAGATAGCCCTATGCATGTGATTAAACACACCAGTGTATGCAGTGCCGTATGGTTTTAGTTCTGACTGTAACAGCAATATGTAAATATTACTAATGCAACAAAAATGAAAAAATGTTTTTATTTTGGTGTCCCCCTTTTCATATGTTAAAAAGTTGATGCTACAGATGGCAACCAAAGGCCAGGAATTGGTTGCCAGTTTCTTAGAATGGTTGCCAATGGCAGCTTGGCAACTGTTACTGTCTAGCCCTGCTTAAACTCAACAGAATTAAGCGTGCAACACTGCCATACAGTGATGGTTACCCTTAAACAAAAACTGAGCCTTTATATAAAATTGTAAATTATGTTATTCCATCAATCAATTTAAGACAGAAAATCATTGGTATGTACCTCATGTAACTCCTATTGGTTTGATAATGTTAAATGTAATATGCACTCAGGATTCATCATATAAATGCTTATATCTGCCGGACATCCTTCCCCAGTCCCCCAGCCAACTCTCCATCCTTGTTGTTTCTCTCTCTGTGTTGTAAATTGTGAAACAGAAAAAGGAATATAAGAAAAGAGTAGATTTATCCATCCTGTCCACTCCGTGTGCCAGCTTTCCACGCCCGTCCAGCCTCAGAAGGCTGGCAGATTCCGCGCCTGGAATTCCACTGTACCGATGGAGTTTGTAATTTACAACGCTTGTGTCCAGACCACGTTGCTTTTCTTACAAAGATTCAGGTTTCCCTAGCAACCCCTGAAAGTAATGTTTTCTTTTATGGCAAAGAGGGGAAAATTTAGCACGTAGCTTAGCTGCACACTAAAACAAGCCACTAAAAATTGCAGGGCACACTTGTGTCGAGGTAACCTGCAGACTGTAGCAATGCTGTTTCTTACCCGTACTTTGTGGATGGAATTTTGTGGTGTGTGTGCAGTCGGTGGCCTTACAGAAATATGGCTGAAATTAGGTGTTCTAGTGTATAATTCAGTGAGTATGTGAATTCTGTGAAACCAGGTCAAACCAAGGGAAACAGCTGCTCACTTTACAATTAGACAATTTTGACAATGCCATTTCTCACCAGGACGCTGTAGTTTACGTTGTTCCACCATGACGTATTGAGGCATATTGTTAAAATTGATCCCATGACAGCCTTACAAACTTGGGTTTGTTTACTGTGCTGTCAGACATTAAGACAGGAAGATAGATGATGAGAATGAGAGAGATTTACAGCCTACATGTGGCTGAAACGTGGGCTCTGAGAGGTGATTGACAAGCAGGTGAGGGTGTGTGTGTGGTGGTGGGCAGGTGGAAGGATGTTTTCACAGCTGCGACAAGCCTTGTGAGAAAAGCATTAGCGCACTTGTTCATCTGATCGCCATACCAGCCGCCGTGGGGGCGTGTTTGAATGGCTGAAGAATTTATTCACAACAGTGGAGTGTATACTCAAACAGCATGTGCGTACACACCTCTATTTTGTGTCATCATTACTGATTGCCAGAGAGTTCACACTGTTCATCCTGATCTTGTAGAGAGAGTAAACACATTTTGTTATTTTAGAGTTTGTTTTAGTTATTTCAGCTGCGGTGTGTTCCATATGTAAACCAGTACTATGGTGAGATCACCACTACAGTGTGTTCTGAGGCAGGGGCGTGTGTGTGTGTTGTCATTCTGCCTGGTATGATGGAAGCCAGCAGGCTAGACTGTCTGTCCCTTTTACTGACACATGCACACTCATGCCTTTTGGGGGGCGTGTGGGGTGGCTCATGTTTTCCAGCGTGTCAAGTTGTTATGCAAGCTCACAATGGACCAGGGAAAGACAGACAAATGTGCAGGTTAGAACCGTGTGTAGCTGGACAAAGTTATGCATCTGTGAAAATGACTCTACTTTGGTATAACAACACATGTGATTGACAGGTTTAAGCATTAAAACATATGAACAATGTTTAGCTGCCTTATAAGGTTTATTCTCTCTGTCAAATAATCCTTAAGCTTTTCCTTGCTAGAATTCCAGGTTGGTGGGATGCAGCATATCAGTACTTTTTTTTTAGCAGAAGCCACCGAAAAGACTTAAAATGAATTGATAAATAATTGGATAAATGATTCATGGATTACACTGCACTGAGTTGTGTGACAGTTTGTAAAGATGTTTTGATATAGTTTTGTTGTGGTTAATTGCGGACCCCCTTTACTTTAATTAATTAATCAATTAATCTTCACCCTTTTGGATTCTTTGTTCACTGGAGGCATGTAACATATACAAAGCTTTCTTTGCGAAATCAACTTGACGTTGGGTGAGTAACTGATATACAAATGGTCATTTTGTAGGTAAAGTATTCCTTGAAAGTCACTCAGAAGATTTATACGGTTGACTAGTATTGAAAAAAATTCGATGGACAGAAAAATATTAGACAACAAATATGATTATAAATAATAGTATGAGTCATTAGTAAAAAAAAAAAAAAAAAAAAAAACTGGTTCCTGCTTCTCAAATGTTTGTATTTGCTGTTTTTCGTGGATATCTAGTTAGTTGCAACTTGAAGACATCACCTTGAGCTTTTGGACTTGGCATTTTTACTGTTGTCTCCCATTCAATAGACTAAAATTGTAAACAATTAATCTAAAGTTAAATCAAATACGAACAGACTGTTATGAAAATGACATTACACCTGTTGCCCTAAAATTGACCTAAAAGGCTGAACTCTGCCGAGAACCAGATGTATGTGGTTGGCGTCATCACGTGGCAGTTCTAAAAGGGCTGAAACAGATGTTAAGAAGTGGTTTCAAATTTTTTTTTGACAAAGTCCCGGTTGAATTACCATATAACACCCTGAAGCCCTGTCTACCTGACCTGCCTGTGCACTTCCCCTCCCCCTACCCATTACAGAGTGCAGACAAATGTGAAAGGTTAAATATCATCCACGGGGTTAGGGTCTGTTGTTTAACAACCATTACACAGTAATGGACACTCACCTGACCTTATTTCCTCTCTGTTTATTTGTCACTTGAGAGCTCTGCCGTGGAAGAGCCGTCTTAAAACCACACTCGTACACCTCTGGTGACCTGACCTGATCTTGTTCTTGTCCATCTTTCTCTTTTGTTGTTTCATACCTTTTCCTTCCCCCACTCATTACTCTGTCCTATAAGTTGGTGTGTGTCAGTGCATTTGTGAAGATGAGTACGACCGCAGCAGCAAGCAACATACGATAGGTATGGTGGGTGCATTGCAGCTTCTTGAGTGTTTACTGCTTTAAAATTGGTTTCCTTTGTAGAATTTGAATCTCAGTTTTGCCATTTGAGCTGTACAGAGGATCGTCTCCTTACACATCATTCTTGGGTGTGACATCCAGTATAATGAAATGCATATTAGAGAAGAAGAATGTGATTGTCAGCAAACAAAGGGTGTGGAGGGTGTGGCAAGAAGATTTGTCACCATGATAGTTCAGACACATGTCATGGATCCCTAATTCTAGCCTTGGCCACTCGTAGCAGGGTGGATCCAGTACGTTGAAAAGTTTCAG